TGTGGAAGCAGAGTGTTGCGTGGGTCCAACACCCAAACTGCAGCTCAGGAGTCAAGGACAGAGCAGCTGTACCTCCCAGGGTCCTCCTGCAGTGTAAAGTGCCGGCGAGTCGGTCCCGGTCCCCACTGATGGTGTCCCTGTGTAGGGTTTCTGAGGAGTGGCTGGTGAGCTTGAACCATCGACCGTGCAGCCCAGCACATTAACCCACAGCGCCATACCAGGAGTGCCCGTGCCACATCTCAATTCCCTCCTCTCCCCCAGCACGGGACACAGGCCTGTCTAATCTGAGGACAGCAGGGCTCAGAGGGACTAACAAGGCCTCGGGGCGCACGACTTCTGGAAGGTGCTCGAGGGGCATACTGTGGCCTTGGGCCTCAAGCCCATCCTAGTCTGACAGAAGGAAGCTCTCCCTCGGGTCACCCCCAGCTCCGCACTCCCTCCTCCCCCAGGGAATTCCCAGGGTCCTCCCTGAGCCTCTTCACCCGCCCCCGCCCCCTGCTTTCTTCTTCACACAAGCTCCAGAGTCAGCTCCAGACAATCCCTCACTGGCTGAGCCCTAAGCAGGTTCCATTTCCTGGCAAAGCTATGTCTACACCTGAGTGATGAGTGCCCAACGGTGTCTACTTGGAGCTCGGCTGCCAGTCCATAGGGCAGCACCAAGCAGATGATGTCCAGCTGTTCTCCATGAGAGTGGCCCCAGCCAGCCTTCAAGTGCTCAGCAGTGCTCAGAAGTCTCCCAGCAATCAAGGCCCCTCCTCCTGACTCACTTTTTTTTCTTTAATCATTTCTATGCCAAAACCCAAAAAACACATTGTTCCCTCAAACTCTGGTAAGAATTGTTTCCCTGTGACTGGGTAGACCTCTGGTGAGGCATGTGACCTGTAGCCTGGACACTATCTACTGGTCAGCCCAGCACTGAGGCCCAGAGCCGGTCAGACTTCTGCTATGAACTGGTATCTCTCCCTGTCCCTCAGTGGTCCTGGAGCCTTAAGTCTCAGATCTAACACCTTCACACGACTGGGCCTTTTGACACAGGTCTACAGCATCTCAACCAAAGCGCCAAAACCTCAAATTTAGGATTTTCCAAGATTTGCTTGACAAAGCTAATCTAACTTATTCGCTGGTACTATCTGACTTTCATACAGGTCTACCCTCTAGGTACCATCTGACCTTTTGATATGAGACTATTTGTATTCTTTATTTAACTAAATGTAATTGGTTAAGTAATACTTTGGAACAGATATAATAACCTTTGTTCAGTTTGTAAAAATTCACCAACCTGTACTCCTATGTGTTTCTCTGTAAAGATAGTAAAAACTTGTGTAAGGTAAAACCCAGTAAGAGCTGGAGAACTCAAAATGTTTCCAAGTCAAGGCACATAGAGGGACAAGTCTGCCCCTTTGCAATCTTGGTGGAAATTGTCCGTGATCCCAGAAAGCAATACAGTCCATGGAGACCAGCTCTCTGAGCTGTCAGTGATAAGTTACACTTCAATTAAAATGTTTGTCATGGATATGATGATCTTTCTGAAACCCAAAAATGTCTAAATTCCAAAACACATCAGGACCCAATGGATTCAGACACGGCTAGATTCTAAGCCATTCAGACACAGGTACTTTGAAATGTATTTTGGGAATAAAAAGGGTGCGGGAGTGGCTGAACAGAACAGAAATGCATGTTATTATTGGTGCTTGCTGTTAGGGTCTGAGGTGTATTTTGTCGTCACCCTTGATGAGGTGATCAAACAACCAGCTGTGGTGGGATACAACACCCCATGGCCCGCATCTTCTCCTGTAAGAGAGAAAATGGGTAGAGTACTTCACCGAGAAAGAAAAGCAGGAACAGAGAAGATTCCTGCACTGAGAACTTTCTAGAACTAGGGAATGATCGATGCCAAGACTATAGAGTTCTCCAAGAAATGCTGAGTCCACAGATGTGAAAAGGAGATAAGAAAGCTTTCTCCTAGCGCTGTCACCCTGAAGTCTGAACTTCTAGTTTCCTAACATGTGAGAGAATCAACGTGTTTAAGTCATCCACCCACAGTATTTCTGCTATAGCAATACCAGGTAACCAAAGCATTCCATTTCAAATCAGTACCAACTCATGGAAATCCCACGTGTGAACTGCTCCACAGGGTTTTGTGACTTTGCCGAAGCAGCATGTCACGTCCCTCTCAAGGCGCCTCTGGGTGGATTGGGACCGCCAATATTTAGAGCTTAACTGGTTTCCACACCCTTGCATGGAAGAGGAAAATCTCCCACTAGTAAGTACCCAGTGACGCTGTGGGTTAGGAGTTGGGCTGTTAACAAGGTTAAGTGCCATGGAGTCGGTTCCAGTTAGATGCGACCTAGTATAGGGTTGTTTTTTGTTGGGGGGGGGGGCCTGATTGGTTTGGACTGCCCCCGTGCGGTAACTAATCCAGTGCTATTACCCTACAGTGCCACACCAGGACACAAGGTCAGCGGTTCAAATCCACCAGCCGCTCCCCAGAGAAAGCTAGATGAGACTGTCTGCTCCCATAAAGACTTAGGCTTGGAAACCCTATGAATCGGAATCGACTTGGTGGCAGTGAGTACGGGATTGAGTTTTGGTATGTAGCTGCAGACCCCCAGGATTGCTGTTAACGGTGTGAAACATGACCCGTCGACGTAACATTGTGTCTTCATTGGCTGGGCCATGAGGCTCCCGACAAGGATGTGCTCCAATTTCCTAGCCAATTCCCTAGGGAGGCATTTGACTCGTTTCCAAATCTTCTCTACGACACACTAAGCACCTCGTTTATTCCGTTCGTGTACACAACACCGTTCTCCTCCAGCGATGGAGCCGCTCTCAGAGGCCCAGAGACTCACCAGGACTGCTGAGCAGGACACGGCGGGAGGGAACGCTGGCCTGGGCGGGGCCCCGAGCTCGGCCAGCAGCGCAGAGGGGGCGGTGGGAGCGCAGGGGTGTCTGCCCAGAAACCCGAACTCCTCCCGGGACCCAGCGGTGTGCGCTCCTTGACCTACACTACTGGTCCCAGCCCCGGCTTGGAGCCCGCGCACCCCCTCGGAGTACGGCGGTCCACGTCGTCGGTTCTCGCGACGGGCCACTCACCTCCCAAAGTCGCCCACGCGTTCCCAGTTCCGTCGCCAGATCGCGGCGCCGGAAAGCCGCGCGGGGATTGCCGGGAAACCGCGCAGCGCATGCGCCAAGGCAAGCGCTCGCGACCACACCTCTCCAGAAGGCCGTTGGTCGAATGAGCCTGACTTTCTCCTCGAAGAACGGCCAATGAACGGGGAGTATATGCCGGGGATGGCCAATCAAGAGGTAGCAGCGCGAGGTGTATCGTACCCGTGCCCCTGTCGGGAGAGCTGCGGTCAGCGTCTTAACTCACTGCGTCTTCCTCCGCGTCCCTCTTTTTTTTTTTTTTTTTTTTTTAAAAAGGTTACCCTGTGCTTCTGGCCTCAGAGGCGGACAAAGGCAGTGAAAAGCCTCGCCTGTTGACAGCCCCAGCCACAAAAGGAGCGGCCGTTCCGCCGGAAGGGATGCGCTGAGTTGAGTCTTCGCTCTGCCCTTTCCTTTTCTGCTCAGAGTGTGGAAAGCAAACAGGGTCCCGGAGCTTTAACTGGTCCCAAGTCTTTAGCGCAACGTGGGCGGATGGACCCCACCCAATGACTTCTTGGTTGTGTTCTCCCGTAAAGATTACAGCCTCGGAAACACTAAGGGGTAGTTCTACTCTGTCACATTGGGTTGCTATAAGTCAAAAATCGACTGTGGGGGGGGGGGGTCCATGCGCGCAACAAAGAAGCTTGGAGAGTCCTAGGAAATGACATCCGTGGGGCGCGGGGGCTCTCCGTCTGGAGCAGGGAGGAAGGCTGACGTGGGAGTGGCCCTGTGCATCCCCATCCGCATACCCAGGGAGTTGGGGGGGTCCCCAAGCCCAAAGGGAACTGCAGCTTTAGGGCCATATCCGGGTTGCTAAGCGTTCTCTTTCCATTCATTCTGCTCCACTCCTACCTTCTCCACATTTCTACCCAAAGATGAGGTTCCAGTTTTTATTGTACAGAAAGCACTTTCCCTTTGATTTCATTAAGTTGGTTCTGTATGCTTAGTGCAGAACAGGCAGAAGATTACAACCGTATCCTTGATATCCACAAGGCTAGCTCCCTCATTGTGCCCTAAACGTCATCACTTCGCGAACCTTGTGGAAACGTGTTGCCCAGAATGTCTCCACTCTGCCGTTTCTTCCATTTTTCACTACCTGATCATTTGTGTAGTCTTTGCCTCCCATTATTCGAGGTAGGGACTCAGTAAATACTTACATATAATGAATGAACGAAAGCAAAAGAAATTCCTAATCCAGAAAAAAGGACTATTCATATTTTATTGTATTTTTGGAGTTCTACATCTATTAATGCAGTTCAAATACAAACCTGGAATCAAGTTTTATTTTGCTGACTCACCAATCACAGATACCTTTCAAAATTAGCATTTATAAATAAAATTCATTACTTTTGCAAATTGTAAAGAATTAATGTATTTAAATGATCCTGGTGTGGCTCTGTGGGTTAATGCGCTGGACTGCAAAGTCGGTTTGAACTGTTGAAGCTCACCAGCGGCTCCTCGGAAACCCATGGTCACTAGGGTCAGAACTGACTCGGCCCCTTCACAACAACCAGAAGATTGATTCGTCTGGAAGAGCCAAAATGCTGCTTTAGAGGATGGTGAGATTTCCTCTCCCGTACACTGGACAAATTGTTATCTGAAGGGGTCAATCCCTGGAAAACATCATGCTTGGTCAAACAGAGGACTATTGGTGTGGTAAAGACAAGCACTGGACTGCTAGCCCCAGGATATGTGATCCCAACCCTCAGAAACCCTATACAAGGTCACTATGAGTCAGAACTGACTGGACCACACTTAACAGAGAACAGATGAAGAGCCTCAACGAGATGGACTGCCAAATTGGGTACAAAAGGCTCACACGGGAGTGACTGTGAGGACAGTGCCTGAAAGGCAGTGTTCCACTGTTCACAGGGTGGCTAGGAATCAAAACCAACTCCTCAGCTGGGAACTTAGGGGGGTTGTGTTTGTTTTTTTGGAGGAATCATCCAAAGGAGACTTCGTGGCTCAGTAGTTAAGCAGTCGGCTACTAACCCAAAGGCTGACAGTTTGACTCCACCAGCCATTCCATGGAGAAGAATGTGGCAGGCTGCTTAAAGATTTAGATCCTTAGAAAACACTATGGCGGAAGTTCTACCTTGTCCTCCAGGTAGCGGAGTCCGAATCAACTGTGTGACAATGAGTTGGGTTTGGGGCTAACAAAATATAAGCCCCCAATGGCAGGACCACCAAGCCCCGACAAAGACCTCTTTTTCTTTCACGGTGACATTTCCTCATAAGGCTCCAACACATAATAGCTTTGGAAGCCATTATTCCAGGCTAGACAGGAAGCAGTTCAGTGTCCCCTCTAATGGCAAATCATTAGGACCAAATCCTTAAAGACAAACCACCTCTTCCCAATGGATCAGAATGTCAATGTTCATCTTTATAAGAGCGATTTTTCACTTGACAGATTCTAAAAGGGGTACAGATACATGATGGAATTAAGTTTTATCCTCAATGATACGAATTGCTACTATGATATACTTGGAGATGGCTGACTCCCATGACTGTTGGGAGACAGTCCTCCCAATGGAGACCTCTCTAGAGAACCTGAGTAACGCATTTGCCCAGAGAGCTAAAACCTTTCCAGTTTTGAGTGGGCTTCCTTGCTCCTTGGGTAATAATGACTCCGCTGATGCTCTGGGGCTCTAGGTGCCCTTTGGCATGGCCTTACAGATGAATCACAGCATAAACCCTTAGAATTGTGGAGCAAAACCATGCTATCCTCTACTGATTACTACTTTCCTTTTCAAAACCATCTTTCGGTATACTACAGGGCCATAGGAGCTCCTAAGGTTCAGTGCTTAGCTGTTGTCCAAAAGGTTGGTGGTTCTTTCCTCCCGTGAGGGAGAAAGCTATGGCAGTCTGCTTCCATCGAGTTCAAGGCCTTGGGAAAGCTATGGGGAAGTTCTACTTTCTCCTGTAGGGACAGCATGAGTCAGAAGAGACTGGCTGGCACTGGGTGGGGCCTTCTGGTTACTGGACCTTGGTAAAGACTGAACACTGGAGCATAAGCCATCAAATTATTATTATGTGACCTTTATGTGACCTGAACTTCTTGTCAAACAGTATATTGTGTAACACAGCCTATGTCACCATGCTGTGACCCAGGGAGACTGGTGGGACCACAATGGTCTTCCTGGTGTAGACATTGGAGTCCGAGTTGAGCACTGTGTTGGTAGGCAAGCCACACACCAGGGATAAGCAGCAGGCTGAGCCTGTCCCTCCCCAGGAACCAAGTAAAAGAATGGGAAATGGGAGCTACAGAAGGGAAGACTAGAGAATGCTGGGAGTCAGGCAGGGGCGGGGTGGGCAAATGACCCAGGACAGGTGATGAGGCCAAGATGATCAAAAGTGGCAGAAGAAACCTGCCGCAATCCAAGATGGACCACAAGGACAGTATTTCTGGGAAGCAATGACTCCTCGCTGTACTGTACACAAAACTGAGTACCTACCAAAGCCAGACAGACCAAGACAGGAGGAGTGGGGAGGGTAACACTAAGCATGAGTTTTCAAGCTGGTGCCACCCTGTTCCCCAGATCCCAAGGAACAGAGCTCAGAAAAAGCCTGGGCCCCATGCAGGACTCTCAGGACAAAGGGGACGGCAGCAGCCGAAGCAGTTAGGCCTGGACCCACAACTTCCAACTTGGCTGGTCTGGCTTCAGCCTGGAAGCCTGTGTGCGGAGCATCTTCTGGCAAGGGGCACATGCCCCACATTGGAACAGGCTTTGTCAGAGGGGTCCCAGCGCAGTAAAGGCTGGAAGGAGAGGGTGGCACCCTGAAAACAAACCAAGCCGGGGTCCTAAATTAAGACCCACCACCAACAAGGGCCTGCTGCAAGGGTCTCCATTAGAATTCCAAGGCCTTTAATATACAGCTATGGTGGGGGCTCCTCTGTTTCCTGCTTTGTCATGCCCGACCCCATGCCAGCTGCCTCCCTGCCTCCCTTCCCAGGCCTTCTTGGCTCCTTCTCCTTGCTGCTCCTGGTCCCTCTCCTAGTCTTCCTGGCCTGTGATGCCCCCAATGGCATGGCCAGGGCCTTGGGGCTGGGGGTGTGAATCTTCTCGTGCCTTTGCAAGTTGGAGCGGCGGCTGAAGCTCTTACCACACAGGGGGCAGGAGTAGGGCCGCACTCCACGGTGCGTGCGCTGGTGGGCGGTGAGGTGGGAGCTATGGTTGAAGTTTTTGCCGCACTCCAGGCAGTGGTAGGGTTTCTCGCCTGTGTGGATGCGGTTGTGGGCGATGAGGATGGAGCGATGGCTAAAGCCTTTGCCACACTCTGGGCAGGGGTAGGGCATGATGCCAGTGTGAATGCGCTGGTGGGTGACCAGGGCCGAGCTCTGCGTGAAGCACTTGCCACAGATGGGGCACTTGTGGGGCTTGATGCCAGTGTGGATGCTCTGATGGGCAACCAGGTCCGAGCGGCGGGCAAAGGGCCTGGTGCACAGATCACACACGTAGGGCTTCTCGCCGGTGTGGATGCGCTCGTGCTGGATCAGTGTGGAGTTGCGGGTGAAGCTCTTGCCGCACAGGTGGCACGAGTAGGGCCGGATGCCGCGATGCGTACGCTGGTGGGTGGTGAGGTGAGAGCTGTGGCTGAAGCACTTGCCGCAGTCCGGGCAGCCATAGGGCTTCTCGCCCGTGTGGATGCGTCTGTGCGCGTTGAGGTTGGAGCGGTGGCTGAAGCCCTTGCCACACTGCTCGCACCTGTAGGTCTTGCCACAGTGGCTCTCGGGAAGCGGGCCCTGTCTGCTACTCTCCACACCCATGAGGGCGCATTTCTCCACTTCATTGGCAGCGTGTCCTGCCACAAGGGCAGTGTGTCTCACCCCCTTGCTGTTCTCGATTGAGGTGGCATCCTTTTCCTCCTGGCTTCTTCGGACCAAGGCAGTACATTTCTCCTCGCTTCTTGTGACAATGGAGGCGTGTTTCTCTTCCTCGGTTCTCTGGGCAATGGTGGTACAGCTCTTCTCCTCACTGGATTTCTCTAGAATGCCACCCTCCTTTTTGTCTGGAAGGCTGGCAGCCAGCAGGGACAACTTTGGCTGTGCCTGCTCCAGGTGCCCAGGTGGTGCTTTGTCCTCAGTCTGTCCTGAGCCCTGGCTTCTGGGTGCCCGCTGCCCACACTGGAGGGTGCCCCTGGGGACTCTGCCCATCCTGGGTTTGCAAGGCTTCACAACCTCAATGGCAGCTTGGGCTGGAGCCTCTTTGCCCAAATCCACAGCTTCTGGGAAAAGAAGGTGTCCAGTGAAGGGTCCTGGGGCATGGGAGGCCAAACTTACCAGGGCAGGGGGGTGGGCAGAAGTGAGAACCACCCTCCAGAGGAGGGGCAGCCTGACCCTACCCAAGTCCAGCCTCAGAAAGGCCACATGTCCTGGGCCAGCAGAAAACAGACATGAAGTCCAGTTGCAGCAGGGTGCATGGGAGTGACAGCAACCAGCCTCCACTCCCTGAGCTCTCACCTGTGCCAACGGCCGTCTCCTCGTCTCTTGTCTGCAGGCCGGAGCTGGAGGCCTCGCCCTTCCCCTGCACCTGGGAAACCCAGAAAGGCCTGCTGCTGCGGGAAACCCCTGAGAGACAGACACACTGGCCTCAGACACCAGACTATGAGCTCAGCAATAATGGGTCAGACCAGGGGCGGGGGAAGGTGGACATGAAGGGGTCTGCAGCTTGGAAACCTGGCATAGAATAAAGTGGACACAAAAAGTCACTTTTGAGGGAGTTTTTGCCTAGGGTTGTTGAGTTTGTGTTCATGGTGATGGAAAGATCTGGCAAAGGACAGTAAGAACAGCTGCACAACCTAAAAAGCGGTGCCCGCGGCATTAAACAGCGGCTGCAGCCGGTTCACTGTGAACAGCTCAAACATGTACAAGCCGCCTTCACATGGCCCTCCCACCGTGACTACCACGCAGTGCTTTTCCCAGCTGGGGTTGGTCTTTGCCTTGCTGAACAAGCAAGAGATGAATACGACAGCAGCTGGGCCAGGTCAGCTAAGACTGTCACCCACCCAGCTGGTGGGACCACATCAGACCCTGAAGTGGAGCCTCCCACTCCGAGATGGAGGTGCTCTCACCAGACTATCAGCAAGACTCTGGGGAGAGGCAGGAAGATGCCACGTGGGGGCCAGGAACCAAAGGGCTGAATGCCAAGTCCCTACAGGGTGAAGGCCCCAGAGAGAGCAGGGGCCTGACCACCGGACCTGCTCCAAGCACTGAGGGAGAAACGAATGTGGAACCAGTGTTGGGCTGCTGATGACACCCAAGAGCTTGCTGGGATGTTAACAGTGTGCTGAGCACACACACCAGAGATCATGAAAGGGGGGAGCGATCCTGGCACCCACCGGGACTAGATGACTTGGAGGACCACCACCGAACTCCACAGAGCCAGCCCACTGCTTCCACCTGGCACACTCATGGGTGTTGATGGATGGATGGACAGATGGACACACTCATGCTGTGACTCTTCCATAAGGCTCATAAGATTCTCCAAGGAAAACTAGAGTCTGAAATTCATCAAGGGCCCCAAGGCTGGAAGATCCACTTCCAGGAGATCAAAGGACACCAAGGCCCTCTGAGAAGAGAATAGAGACTCTGAACGGAGTGTGCCTAGGGGGCTTAGCTGGGGCCAACCCCACCTAGGCCAGGCACCCCCCAGGCCTCGGGACCAGGCTTTCTGCTCAAACACCTCTGCAGGGGGAGCTTCGAGGGGAATGGTGGGAGCACAAGACGAAGCACCACAGAATTAGCCAAGCAGAGCAGGCGCTCCCCACTGGCCACCTGTAGGCTGTGACCGTAAGCTGGAATGGACCACAATGAAAAGCAATGAAGAGTTCCAGCGTCCTGGCCACAGGCCACTGACAAAGCTCAGGACCAGGGACAGCCGCATGAGTGCAGAGTCCCATCGGACGCCTTCCAGGCAGGTAAGAAAAAGGGACCGGGTGGACCCCGACACTGCTCACCACACTTTTCCTTCCTCTGTGGGGCTTCTCTACGCATGTGCTGCTGTTGGGGGTCCAGGCGGCACCACTCCTCCTGGGAGAGGTATAAAGCCATATCCTCAAAGGTCACGGGCATCTGGAATACACAAATGGTCAATCACTGTCCAGGCCTGACAAAGGAACAAGATGGCATCCCCATGGTTGGCGACGCTGCTGAGTCTCTGTGTATCAAGAATAAGGCAGCTGTGTACAGCTGATGAGAGAACAAAGTGTCCTTCTTAGCTAGGGTTCACACACACACACACACACACACACACACACACACACACACACTCCTTGTCAGCAGCTTCTCGGGCCAGCTCCAGGCCTGGAGGGTCTGCTTGTCCGGGTCCCTGCCTGCCCTGTGGGCCCTGGACAGAGCAGACAGGTGGCCCCATCAACGTCACGCTCCCTGCAGTGAGCCTGGAACAGTGCGCTGGCTCCCCAGGGCAGGTCAGTGGGTACGGGCCTCACAATGCACTCAGCAGAGGCCAAGCACCCACTATGACGTGGAGGAGGCCACAATGCACTCAGCAGAGGCCAAGCACCCACTATGACGTGGAGGAGGCCACACCTAGGCAGGGGCCCTGGGAGCACTCACCTGAGACCAGGCGGTGAGGAGCGCTGCGGCCATCTGCCGGTCTCGGGTTCTCCCCTCCCGGGAAAGGGCCTGGACCTGTGGGGAGGAGCTGGCTGGGGGAGCAGAGGGGTCTTCAGTGGCCAGCCCCCTGCTGAGCCCTGCTACCCCCAAGGGGCCCAGCCCTGACCTCCAGGGAGACTCATGGCTCCTCAACTCCTGCTAGCCTCAGCCTGGGCTCGGAGACTACCTAGGTGACCTCTGTCAGGCTGCTGTGCAGACGGACAGACCCCTGCCCTCAATGTGAGCCCCCACCCCCGCCACCCCCTCCCTCTCCCGTTCCTCTGCTCACCTCGGACAGGCAGAAGACCCCGAAGACCCTTCTCCCTGGATCCACGCCTTAGTGATGTCCACCCTTGTGTACTCGGAGCCCCTTCCTCCCTCAACACTGCCGCAGAGTTCAGCACTTCAGGGTCAGTCTTGGTGTGAGGTGACTCCCGTGAGGCTCCCAAACGCACCGTCTCCTCTGATTCAGAAAGCATTTCTCCACAAGGCTGCTGGTGACGTGGAACCTAGGACAGGCAGCCCATCGCGTAATTATCCACAGAGAGCATGCTCTACCTCCTAGTGCGGTGAGTAGCCGTCTCTCCCAGACTAGAGGAAAGAAAAGTGAGGGAAACTGAAATCCCTTGGAAACAATGAGTCCAGTGGACTAATGGGCCACGTGACCCAGAGACCAGAAGAACTCGATGGTGGCCAGCTACCATTACCAACCTCTGCAAAGGATCACATTAGGAAGTCCTGGATTGCGTGGGAGGAGATGAGGAACAAGACTCAAAATCATCAAAAGACCATGCTTACTGGTCAGCTAGGACTGGTGAAACCCTTAGACTATGGCCCTTGGTCACCCCTCAGGTCTGGAACTGAACTTACCGCCGGGGCTCCAGCTTCAGGCAAGCAAGAGATAGGTCTATGGTGGGGGCAGTACTAGGTGAGAATGAACGGACAGTCAGCGAGCGAGTCAAAATCCAGAAGGATGGGGGTGGGAGAAAGGGGCAAAAGAAACACAGGGAAGGTAGGAGTGCCTCAATTCACAATAAATAGTAATAAAAAGGAAAGAAGGCGGGGTGGGAGAATGACCCCAGTGCCACCTGAGGGGCTGTCAAAAGGGCCAGACCACACACTGGATACAAGGCGCAGCATCTGGTCACACTGTGGCCCTGCTAGTCCTGTTTCCTTGTCCTCTCTGACACTCATCCCAGCAAGGACAGAGCAGCCAGGGAGGGGACAGAGCGGCCGAGAGCCTGGTCACAGTCCAGGGGTCACGTGGTGCAGTTCCTAACCCGAAGGGAACCTGCCGTCCTGTCAATCCGGACTCGAGACGACCCCACCGGGCAGAGTGCAGCTGCTCCATAGAGTTCTCAGTGGATGAGGGCCGGACTGCCAAGTGCAAGGTCAGCAGTCCATACACAGCCCCCAGCCGCTCTGGGGAACCCTATACAGGCTCACTGTGAGTGGGAAGCAACTCGACGGCACACAACGACAACAATCATCTTTGTGGAAGCAGAGTGTTGCGTGGGTCCAACACCCAAACTGCAGCTCAGGAGTCAAGGACAGAGCAGCTGTACCTCCCAGGGTCCTCCTGCAGTGTTAAGTGCCGGCGAGTTGGTCCCAGTCCCGACTGATGGTGACCCTGTGTAGGGTTTCTGAGGAGTGGCTGGTGAGCTTGAACCATCGACCATGCAGGCCAGCACATTAACCCACAGCGCCATACCAGGAGTGCCCCTGTCACATCTCAATTCCCTCCTCTCCCCCAGCACGGGACATAGGCCTGTCTAATCTGAGGACAGCAGGGCTCCAGAGTCAGCTCCAGACAATCCCTCACTGGCTGAGCCCTAAGCAGGTTCCATTTCCCGGCAAAGCTGTGTCTACACCTGAGTGATGGGTGCCCAATGGTGTCTACTCGGAGGGTGGGCTTGGGAACATGCAGAGGTTTGGTTGGGATGGGATGGCCCCAACCAGTCCTTACGGACTCAGGTCTCAAGGTCTCCTTCTCTCTGCTCTTTCCCTGTTATCTTCTCTACTGGTTCCCCAGGACTGGGAGTCAGTAGAATAAAACAAGGGGATATTTCTTGGTGTTACTGATGTTGAGTGCCATCAATTCCAACTCACAGCGACCCTGTATACAGTTTCTAAGGAGCATCTGGTGAGCATGAACCACCAACCGTGTGGTTCAAACCAACCTTGCAGTCCAGCACATTAACCCACAAGCGCCACACCCGGACTCCAAGGGAGATACTAAAAGGCTTAAAATCAGGCAAGGTGTGCATCAGGGTTATAGCTTTATACCACACGTAGTCAATCTCTATGTTATTGCTGTTGTTAAACAGCACCATGGATTCAGTTCTGACTCACAGCAACCCTGTATAGGGTTTCCAAGGAGCAGCAGGTGGAAACCTTGTGGTTAGCAGTCCAGTGTTTATCCTACAGTGCCACACCAGGGCTGAACATGTAATCCAACAAGCTACACCATATGAAGAAATACACAGCATCAGGATTGGAAGAGGGCTCCTTAACACACCGCTCCAAGGGAGTATGTCAGACCAAGAAGGTTCTGGAGCTTGGTCCAGGGGTACCTGTTTCTTGCCTTTTGGGTCCTTCCTCATCCCGTCTTCAGTGGAATGTGGACAGATGGAACACACCTACCATATCCGTGGGAGCAAAGATCTGAGTTACACAGGTGACACAACCTTGCTTGCTGAAAGCAGAGGAGTTCAAGTGCAGCCTTTACTATGGATTACAACTAGATGTAAAGAGAACAATCGTAACAGCTGGACCAATGGTCAGCATCTTGAATAAATGGAGAAAAGATTAAAGTCCTCAGGATCCACATCCATGCTCACCGGAAGCAGCAGGCAAGAAATCAACACATTGTATTGGGAAAATCTGCTACAAAAGAACTCTTCAGAGTGTTAGAGGGTGAAGATGTCACTTTGAGCACTTTGGTGTGTCTAAGTCAAGCCAGGTAAAAGACAATCGGGAGATAGGAAAAGAATCAGTGCTTCTGAGTTACGGTGTTGGTGATGAATTTTGAAAGTACCATGGACTGCCAAAAGAACAAACAAACCTGCTTAGAAACCAGGATGGCGAGACTTGGTCTCACTTCCTTTGGACAACTTTTCAGGAAGGACCAGTCGAAGGGCATCAGACCTGGTAAAGTGGAGGGGCAGCGAAAACGAGGAAGACCCCAATACGATGGACGGACACGGAGGCCAGCAGCCAGCACTCACACACGGCGCCGTGTACAGCCGCTGCGGGGCGGCCAGGACTCACCGGAATCGTTGAGTAGGGCACGGCAGGAGCCCCGAGCTCGGCCAGCGAGCGGTGGAGCGCTCGGGATGCCTGCCCCGAAACGGAGCGAGCCGGGGCCGCGAGGGCGACCAGGACTCTTCCCGGCACTCCCCAGAGGTGTGCACGACTCTGGCGTCCGCCTCGGGACCCCGGCCAGGGCGCGGAGCCCCGCGCGCGGCCTCGCAACACGATAGCCAGCTTCCCTGTTACTCGCGACAGGACACGGGCCCCCAAGAATCGCCCACCGCTCCTCAGTTCCGTCGACAGGTAGCTGTGGCGGAAACCCGCGCGAGGATCACCGGGTAACCTGTCTGCGCGTGCGCCACAGCCGGCCTTCACGACCACATCTCAGCCCCAAGCCAGAAGACTTTCCGTCTGGTGAGCCTGCCTACTCTCCGAGGAACTGCCAATGAACGGGGAGATTTTCCAGGGATGGCCAATCAGGAGGCAGCGACGAGAGTCGCTTTATGCCCCGTGCAAATTGCATTTTCCTCCTTCGCTGCTTGGAAACACTATATAGGGTAGCTATGAGTCGCAACCAAATCGACGTCACTTAACAGCAACAATACTAAATCTTTTCTTTAAAAAGGTTTCTCTGTGCCTCTAGTCTCTACGGGGCGGACAAAAGAAGTTAAAGCCTGGCTGATGAACGCAGAGACAGTGCTTGGCCCCGCCACTAACATATCGACCACTCCTGCAGAAGGTTGGTTACCTTCTGCCGTGGTCTGTTTCCTCTCCAAGTAGTGTGTTGAAGACCAAGAGAGCCCTGGAGCTCGATCCGGGGTACCCTTTTCTCGCATTTTGGGTCCTTCCTCGTCCCAAGTCTTTAGCTTATAATGGGCAGATGGAACACACCGTATCCGTAGGAGCAAAGACTAGGTGATCTGCTCCCGTAAAGGTCATAGGCCGGCGTTCTTTTACACTAGGTTGCTATGAGTCGGAAATCCGCTAGAAGGCGCAACAACAAAGGAAATGCTATCTATTGTTGGGCGCCGAGCAACCTCATGAGATTGTCTCAGGCAGCTGAATGCTGACCTTGGAACTAGCTGACTCACAAACTGCGGGGGTTTAAGCGGCAGCAGGGTACCTAGGAATCGGTGGGATGCGGACCACATCCAGGAAGTTCAGGATTCATTTGTACCAACGCCTCAATTCTCCCCAGAGATTTGAGAATCTAGTTTTTATCTGTACAAAAAGCACTTGCATGTTTTTCTTTGACTATGCAAGTACTGTATGGCTAGTGTAAAAAAGGAAGAATGTATATAAAACTAGAAAAGTAACCCTTCATGAGATCTACAAGTTAGCTCACTCACTCTACTCAAATGTCACCCCTCTGAGGCCTTCTTTAACCCTGCATAAATAATTCTCCTATCATGTCTTCTCCCAGGCAGATTTTTCTCCTAAAAGTCATCACTACCTGATAATATGTTGTTGTTGAGTACCGTGGAGTCGGTTCCGACTCATAGTGATCCTGCACAGGGTTTCCAAGGCTGTAAATCTTTACCTAATAATATATATATATTTGTAATACTTGGGTGTGGCACTGAGGGATAATGTGCTGGACTGCAAGGTCGGTAGTTCAAGCTCACCAGCCGCTCCTTGGAAATTCTATATAGGGTCCCTATGGGTGGGAACAGACTCCACGGCACTTAACAACATTTAACTATGGGAAGTCCTGGTGTGGCGCTGTAAGATTAAGAATTCAATGACAGATCAGTGTGAACTGCAAGGTCAGCAGTTCAAAGTCACCAGTCACTCCTTAGAAACCCTATACAGGGTCGCTATGAATTGCAACTGACAGCAGCACTAGACAATTCAACTATAGAATCTACGTGGGCACACACAGTGTTTATGGCTCTACCCCAGGCTGTGATTGTAGCCATTTCTGTATCACCTTTAGCAAAACTTTACTTGCTTGAGATATCAAAGGCTACAATCATACATTGACAGAGAACTTCCAGAGGTTCAAGCTGGATTCAGAAGAGGCCATGGAACGAGAGATATCATTACTGATGTCCAGTGGATCTTGGCTGAAAGCAGAGAATATCAGAAAGATGTTTACCTATGCTTTACTGACTACACAAAGGCTTTCGATTGTGTGGATCA